ATAAAGGACAGTTACTATTGATTTGTTACACACAAATATTAATTTACATAGTTGTCCAGACTGTATTTTGACATAAACAAAGAGTTCAGTTGTATATATGGTATACCATGCAAAAGCAGTACATAACTTCCCCATCTCCATATACATGTAAATTCCAAAAGAGCACACACCAAGACAGAAAACACCCACGCATAAGATACCACCATTTCTAGCCCTGCAATTGGCTGTATTCTCCACAGCATGGAATAATATTGCATATCAAAACTACAGAAATCATGGTTAGTGACTTCCTTTGCTTTGACTTCATGAAAATAGCAAAGAGTCCAACAAAAATACAAAAATCCCGGGAAATTTTGCCCATTACAATTCCTTGAAAGTGGCAAAATACACATTTGAATCTCTTTTTGGTTTAAATTGGTACAAAACTCCAAGAATACATAAATCTAAGTTAAAAAATGGTGTTTAGACTATAAACAAGGTTTGAACAACATTCACTGCACAAATTTGTTTCATATCAAAATGTGAATCCTATATTACATTGTCTTACCTAGTGCAAAGAAGATAAACATTATTTCTCTATTTAGGAAAGTTGCCTCCCTTAAAAATTATGCCATTTCTGCCACCAGGTTTATAATCAACATGGGAACCAAGAGTTAATAATTTTGTATGGAAAATGAGACTTTAGTATTTCTTTCTACAGAACCAGTTCTATGTACACTTTATGTAAAAACATAGTTAATCAATGTAATGATTGTGATTAAAAATAACGTTTCAAACAAAAAGTTCTAAAAAAAGGTAAGGGTTTTTACAACAGTGCAATAGGCGTGGCCTATGACACTGTCCTATGATGTGTTGTGCCGTGATTTAGCCTTTCCAGAATTTAACTGGGCTGAGCTTTATGGTGTTTCATAGGATCGCGATAATCACATGACATCTCAAATCACGCTTCATCTATACTCGAAGAACCCTAGATCTACGATGGTGTCTCCAATGAGAATTATTGTAACCAACTCTCACAAGTCCCACATTTTTGAGAGCTTGCCAATTAATGTACCAATGATGCTCCCTTTTAGTAAAAGTGAAGAACAGCTATCAAAAGATAGTGCTGGTCATCTGTTGGTAACGTGTCAACAACAGTTGGTTGACAGGTTACCAACAACTTAAAATTGGAGTCGCTCTTCACAGTTACCCACTACTTCTACATTAATTTACAACCTGGCTGCAGCCCAGTTTGGTAGGGCAAACCCATCCATTTATGAATTTGATTCACAAAAATGAATAATAACATTCTACAGAGAGAAAATTTCTTTATAACAAGNCTATATTACATTGTCTTACCTAGTGCAAAGAAGATAAACATTATTTCTCTATTTAGGAAAGTTGCCTCCCTTAAAAATTATGCCATTTCTGCCACCAGGTTTATAATCAACATGGGAACCCGAGTTAATAATTTTGTATAATAAATGAGACTTTAGTATTTCTTCCTACAGAACCAGTTCTATGTACACTTTACGTAAAAACATAGTTAATCAACGTAATGATTGTGATTAAAATAACGTTTCAAACAAAAAGTTCTAAAAAAAGGCAATAAGGGCTTTTACAACAGTGCAATAGGCGTGGCCTATGACACTGTCCTATGATGTGTTGTGCCATGATTTAGCCTTTCCAGAATTTAACTGGGCTGAGCTTTATAGTGTTTCAGTGGATCGCGATAATCACATGACGTCTCAAATCATGCTTCATCTATACTCGAAGAACCCTAGATCTATGATGGTGTCTCCAGTGAGAATTACAGTAACCAACTCTCACAAGTTCCACATTTTTGAGAGCTTGCCAATTAATGTACCAGTGACGCTTCATTTCAGTAAAAGTGAAGAGCAGCTATCAAAAGATAGTGCTGGTCATCTGTTGGTAACATGTCAACAACAGTTGGTTGACAGGTTACCAACAACTTAAAATCGGAGTCGCTCTTCACAGTTACCCACTACTTCTACATTAATTTACAACCTGGCTGCAGCTCAGTTTGGTAGGGCAAACCTGTCCATTTATGAATTTGATTCACAAAAATGAATAATAACATTCTACAGAGAGAAAATTTCTTTATAACAAGAAAAGAAACTAATTTGAAAAATCCTTACTTCCCTTATGAAGAAGGTAAAATCAACTGTGAAAATGTATACAAAGCAATATGTTTTGTGATAATGTTATTTGTGCATTGGTTGTAGTTAGCTCAGTAAGTGGATCTTATTAAAAATATTGTGCACACCACACAGGAGACCCAAATCTCACCTCATGATGTGCACAAATACCGATAAAAATTATCAATAAGAGTGCTAACTAACAATACTTTCAGTTTGTCTAGTGTCCCAAAAATGTAAATTTAATTAAAGCCTTTAGTTTAAAAACCTTAAAATTAATTACACTGTCATTCAGCTACGGATTTCCAGTGAATCACATCTGCCTTTCAGGATGTTCATGTTAGCACTCCTCAAAAATGCACAGACATCATCAACTTCATTCAATGTTTCGAGGAAGGGAATCAAGTCTAAAAGTTCCATGTCAGAAAAGTCATCAAACCATGATGCAACTGGAACCTGACGACAAACACAATGTTCATTAAGCATTAGATGACAGTAAATATATATCACATTGTCTGATTGGCTGGTTACGGCCAACCCAACAAAATAATTGTTTCATTTCCCATATTTCCCTAACTGACCCAGCTTCACTGCCTGCCCCCTTACCTGATTCATTTTACAGCTGTGATTCCTTTAACAGTTTAACACAACCAGTGACCACTGTAAGTTGTAAATATCTTCAAAGCCCTTTTTTAAGTGACATGTAGTCTTATTATAAAATTTCAGTTACAGGGAAGCTCCTGGTTTCAGTCAATTTCCACAAGTACAATGCTACGTTTTGACATCTTTTCACTTTTCTTTACCCAACTACCTGACTCACTTCAATCATAGAGAGGGTCTTGGAAAATGAATCATATTGTTATAATCCAGTATGGCTTGGAGCTGTTTTCATTTCAGTGTCGAAAGTAATCAGGCAATTACTTTGGTTTTGGTTTTGGTGCTACTAGGCTTTGAGAATGGCTGAGTAGTCTTTTTGGTAAGTTATTGGTTTGGTTTTGGTTTTACGACACTCAATTGAAAATCACTCCAAGTATTAGTAGTTTATTTGCCAGTGAATAGTCTCGTTCGTTTCTTCAACATCTTAGCTGTGAGAAAGCAAAACAGCACGAAATTTATATAACTAACTGGCTTAATAAAGCAGAATGCTCCATAAAGTAACTTGACAGCAAAAAGATGTCATCACTTACTGCATTCTCAGGATGAAAACTATATGACGCAGGTGAATTATCCACAATAAGAACATGCTTTAAATCTCTTCCTAGTTTACTTAGATCCTGCAAAACATAAGCCATTCCACAAAGTCAGCCAGCAGTGAAAATTACTTAAATTATGCAAAAACAAACAAAAATATCTCTGCAAACAAACAAACAAACATGTCAAAGTAAACAAATATATATATCTGCAGGTTTCATTGCAAAATTGCATACAAACATCCAAGGCCAAGGGATTATAAAATTAATAATTATCCTCATCTTGTGGAAGATGCTGAGCCCTGAAGGTTAATGTACGAGACTGGATCAAGTCGTCACAGAAGTTCAAGCCCTGGCTGGGTGTGAGGTGTTGTGGTCTTGGGCAAGACACTTGCCTCTCACAGTTCCTCTCTCCACCCAGGTGTATCGGTATATATAAACATGTACCAGTGAAATAAATACTGGGGTAACCCTGCGATTGACTAGAATCACATCCAGAGGGAGTAGGAAAACTCTTGGTCTTTTCATGCTACAGAAACTGGAGATAAGCATCGACCTGATGGGCCACATGGCCACGAACACAGAGATTAACTTCCTTATTTTACCTTGACATAATTTCCCCTATGGAACACACAGGACTCCCTGAAGAGTCTGGCACGGAACGATCCATACTTGTCCAGCAAGTCGGCCACTGGGTCTGCATACTAAAATATACACAGCTGTATTAATTTTTGCCCTACAGTGATACAGCATGGATAATTTGTAGCTGACATGTCTTATAACTCTGGCCTCTTTGAAAGCACTACTAACATTTATTTACAAATTATAGAGAAAACATTAAACATTTTAAAACACATCGAAGGCCTAGGGCCACTGACCTAAGATTCAGATTTTAGTTGCAGGGTTCTTTAGAAAACCAGGAAAACTTGCTGCCATTATATTTTAAGCATATATACAACACCCTCACTAGATCCTAGGCTTTGAGGGTGAACGCTTAGACTTCTAACAGAGATTAGAATCCCATTTGCCCTTTGGAGAAGCAGCTCACAAATTTTGTTCGCCCTGGGTAAGTCTTAGTTTATTATTTTTTATTTAGTTGACAGATGACTTGCCTGCGCCATTACCCATCATGAAAGTGAGAATGAAAAGTTACTCGCAAGCCCAGCAGGAAAAAAAAGTTACTTGGCCTGGATGACCAGACACCACTTCCTTCAAACCCCGTTAAGCTCT